ATTTTCTAGTCTCCGCTTTTAGGACCTAATGTTTCACTAGGCAATGTAGTATATATGGACATGAGTTTGGAGCCACACAGATCTGTCTGTTTTCAAATACCTATTCCACCCCTTACCAGCCATGTGACCTTGGGCAGTTTCTTGAACCTCAGTTTCCTGATCTGTGAAAATAAGGCTAACAATAGTATTTACCTCAGTGTTGTTACGAAGATTAAATGAGATAATATTTCAAAAGGGTTTTATAGTGCTTTAAAGGAAGTCATTAGTTCACTAGCCTTTCCCCTAATGCTAGGTTAACGTGGATGGAGCCTGGGATAGGCTCAATCTCTGTTTCTCATATCTTTCCAGGTCACTTTTTCAGATAGCTTCCCAGCTGTGGAAAACGAGCATCCTCAAGGTAAGTTTACTGAAAAAAGAAAACTGGGTGTGAAAGCAGTAGTCTGATCCTGTTGTCTTCAGCAGTGCTCTAAGGGTCTCCCCTGGGCAAATCAAAGCTGGGCCAGATAATGTGCCAAACCATATACACCAGGAACAATAGTTTGACAAGGTCACCCAGGAATAAATCTTGGGCGGGATGGAGATGATCAATACCTTCAATATTCAAATCACTTAAGAGAAACTTTTGAGATACAGGGAAAACTTCCATAGGCAACTTGGGCTGGCTAACCAGGTTTTAGGAGTCCCTGGTATTTTATGAATAGCCCAGAAATAATGCCACTAGGATTTTATTATCCAGCAAGCTCACGAAAGCCACTAAGTGCACACAAGAAATTGTTGAAAGTCCTCAAAAGCTCTTAGAATTTAGAAATAGAGGTACTAAACCCTAAAAGCCAGGCAATCCCAGCACCTGCCCAAAAACCTGGTTAGGATGGAATGGTCCAACTCAAGTTCATCTAGAAAGAGGCAGAGCTTACAGGTAAAGGATTTTGCCCAGGAACACTTTTAGGTCTTCTAAGGACACATTTATGGCATTAGGAGTACACACTTTCTCAGAGGCGTGAAATATGGGCTGAGATCCTAGGACATAGTAAGGGTCTATAAGTTCTCCATAAGAATTTTGTAATGTTCTGTTTTCATTTTGTTGGTATCCGAAAAAGTTAATGTACTCGTATTTTTAAATTATCTGGATGGCTCTTCATAATTGAGTACTGCCACATGGTATCAGTGCCTGTTTTATGTTTCTACGTACACTTGCATTATCACCAGGATAGGGGTCAAAAACTCACATTGTCTACATGGACCAAGGAGTGATGTGGGCTGCACACGACTATGACAACCTATAGACCTCATTGCATCTAAAAGGAGGCAGCAACTATTGAGGTCTGATCAATCAATACTATTTCAGAATTCAAGACCTAGTTTTGTGAGAGCTTCTGATTTTGAAAAGAAACTCAGAATTTGGATTTGTATGTAAATCTCCAGATTTTTTAAAATTTTGGCATCTGATTTATTTTTAAAACACCGGGACAGCCAAATCAAATATGTTTGTAGGCCTGTAGCCTAAAATGGTAGTATTTTGCTGTCAGCGTAATGTGTCTTAAACTGATGTCAAAAGACATGTTCTTGGGGGTCTGTGGGTTTTCAATTTTGAAAAACAATGGTGAGCTTCCAGTTAAAGATGGTGGTTTAAATATATGCATCTACTTTCGTTCCTTCACAAAAAGCCACTAAAACAACCATAAAGAAATTTTTTTTTTAAAGATTCAAACCCACCAGAATAGGAAGGAAAAGAGAGGAGGCAATAGCAAAGAATTTTTGGAAACTGGAAAACAGATGGAAGAGTGATAAATGACTTAGCAGACCTGAGAAAAATGAATTATAAATTAATGGAAAGCCAAGAAGCATTGAAGGTCTGAGTAGCAGTCAGATCCCAACACTTCCTCCTCCGCTGAGTGCATGCAGCTGGGTAACTCCCCTTTCCAACTTCGGCAAAGACTGGCAGCCTGGAAAAGGGCTGAGGCCCAGCTGAGGGCTAAGGTCCTATACTAAACACAGGAGCATGAACTGAACTATACTAAATCCTGAGACCCCAGTCCTTTTCCGTCATCCAATTTCCAGAATGCTGACAGAAAAGACTTCACCCTCCAAGCACAACATTGAATCAATAATCCTTCTCTCCAGAATCTCCTTGAGGGAAAAGCCCTAAAAATGTAAGTATTGAGTGTTCACCATTCAAATGGCTCACAGTCAACAAGGCTCACTTACACACTCAGAGAGCTTCCAGTCAGCTTTAAAGACTCCACTCTTAAAATATGGTTTGAGGGGCCGGGCCGAGTGGCGCGATGGTTAAGAACTGGCTTGGGACGCCAGAGAACCCCGGTTCAGATCCCACACATGAGGGCCAGTGACACTACCCTCTACAGCTAAGATGCTGAACAACAGCTCAACCTGGAGCTGGGCTGCTATGAGTCACCAGCGACAGCGTAGGCTGCAGCCCCTGTGGCAGTGGGTTGCCATGGGCTACTGTATGTAGCCAGCAGCCAGCATGAGCGGCCAGCAGCCGCAGTGAGCGGCCGTCCAGAAGCCGGCGACTGATCTGCCTCGCCCAGGAAGAGCGCAATGATGGTGCCAACTTGGGCCAGTGAAGCAACGTCCTCCACAACTAGACTGAAGAACAAAAAAACAGCAACTTGTCTGTTCCTCTTCCCCCAATTCCCCAGTGCTGTTCCCATTCCCCAATTCCCCAATAAAAAAATCTTTAAAAAAAAAAATATGGTTTGAATCCTCCTCTAAACCAAGGATTACCAGACAACTAAAGAAAGTTTCTAACAATAAAAAAAAAAAAAAATTAAAAAAAAAAGTGATCCAAACTGCCCCACCATGAAAAAAAACAAGGAAAAAGTAACAGAGGGAAAAACTCAATGCATAGAGAAGAAAACATTTTAAATTAACATTAATATATATTCAGATAAAGAATATATTGGGTCTTTGGAAAAGTCATGACATATTTTGTCTATGTTTTTCAAAGGTCATTTATTTACATAAAGAACAAAGATCAATCAATGATATATTGCCCATTTTGTTCGATAACCTTTTGTCATCTTTCAGTGAGCTTCATAATTCCTCGTTCATAGAAGGACCCATCTTTATTTGCGGAAAACTGAACAAGGTGCTGATTTACAGCCTCATCTGAATTGAACATTATACCACGCAAGGAGTTTTGAAGAGAGTGGAACAAGTGGAAGTCTGATGGCGCCAGGTCAGGTGAGTATGGTGGGTGTGGCAACATTTCCCATCCAAGCTCCAATAATTTTTGACGGGTGATCAAACTTGTGTGTGGACTTGCTTTGTTGCGATGGAACACAACTCTTTTACAATTAAGCTCTGGACATTTCTGGATGATGGATTAATTCAAACTGTCCAATTGCCAACAATACACATTTGAAGTGATTGTTTGGCTCCTTGGTTGGAACTCGAAAAACACGACACCTTTAAAATCCCACCACACTGAGAGCATAACCTTCTTCTGATGAATGTCTGCTTTTGATGTCGTTTGAGGCGAATCATCACGTCGGGACCAAGACCATTTGCGCACCATATTGTTGTAAACAATCCACTTCTCATCACCAGTTATCGGTCGCTTCAAAATGGGATCGTTTTCCTCACATTTAATGAGCATACTGCAGATGTTTATATGTGCCGTCAAATGAATTTCTTTGAGTTCATGCGGAACCCAAATATTGAACTTGCTTACACATCCCAGCTTCTTCAGGTGGTTGTGAACACTTGAATGATGAATGGTCAATGTTTTTGCAGTCTCTCATGTTATGTAACGTGGGTTTGACTCAATCAGTGCCTTTATTTTGTCGTCATCAATCTCGGTGGACCTCCCTGACCAAGGAGCGTCGTCGAGATCAAAATCACCAGCACGGAATTTCGTGAACCATATTGTCACTGACGTTCTTGTAGAGCGTTGTCACCGTAAACTTTATGTAACTTTTCACAAGCTTGAAGCGCGTTCTTCCCTTTATGGAAGTAAAACGTAAAATATGGCAAAAATGCACAGTTTGGTCTTCCATCTTCAACTTGTTGTAACATCTCCAAAACTCAACCAAATCGCTCAATTTTTTTTTTTAGAATGAAGCTAGAACTGCCAGCTGTCAAATGACATAGCAATAACATAGATGCGAATGACTCTAGTACTTGCAAAAATGAACTAGTGCCATCTGTTGCAAACATGCGTCATGACTTTTCCGAAGACCCAATATTAACATCATAAAACAAGTACAGGATACAATTTTTTTTTTAAGTTTTGGAAAACAAAAAGATCTTGGACATTAAAAATATAGTAGCAAAAATTTTTAATTAGGAGGTTTGGAAATCAAGTTGAGGAAATCTCCCAGAAGCAGAATTAAAAATCAAAGAAGTAAAAAAAAAAAATTTTTTTAAATTAAAAATTAAAGAAGTAGGACATAGGAGAGAAAAGATATTTTAAAAACAACTCACTGGGCCAGCCAAGTGGCTCAGCTGGTTAAGAGCTCCTTTGGGAGCACCAGCTCTGAGCAGCAGGCTGCGGTTTGGATCCCACATTGAGGGCCAGTGACGCTCGCCCTCTAGAGCTAAGATGATGAACAACAGCTCGACCTGGAGCAGGGCTGCAGTGAGCAGCCGACCAACAACCGGCGACCGATTGCCTCATCCGGGAAGAGCACAATGATCATACCAACATGGGCCAGTGAAGCAACATCCTCCACAACTAGACTGAAGAACAAAACAGCAATTTGTCTACCTGTCTGTTCCCCTTCCCAGATTCCCCAACGCTGTTACCCGCCCCCCAATTCCCCAATAAAAAAAACTTAAAAAAAACAAAAACAACAACAAAAAAAAACTCACCAAAACTACCAAAAATCCTTAACGGGTCAGTCTGGGAAGTCCGATATCTAAATAATAGGAATTAAATATAGAAAGAGAAAAATGACAACACAGAGCAAAGGAAATAATCAAGGAAATAATTCAAGAACATTTCCTGGAACTGAAGGACGTTGGTTTTCATATTGAAAGGTCTCATTGAGTATTCAGCACAATGGATGAAATTGACCCACCCAAAGCACAATCATGAGATTTCAAACACTAGAAACAAAAAAACATCCTGATTTTCCAGAGAGAGAAAAAAAAAGTCACATACAAAGAATCAGAATTGCTTCAGACTCACAACAGAAGCTAGAAGACAATGAAGCCATGTCTTCAACATCTTGCAGGAAAATAAATTCCAACGTAAAATTCTGTATCCGGCCAAATTCTAAATCAAAGATGAGGGTAAAATAAAGATATCTGCAGGTTACAAGGTCTCAAAAAATTTACCTCCCGTGCACCCTTTCTCAGGAAGCTACTGGAAGATGTGCTCCACCAAAACAAGGGAATATTTAAAAAGATGAAAACATGGAATACAGGACACAGGAGAGATGTGAAAGGGGTCCTCTGTGAAGTGAAGAAGGAAGATCTCAGGATGACAGCAGTGCACACCAGGCAAACCCGCGCAAATCTGAGCAGGTCAGAAGGCTCCAGAGAGACTTCTTTGGATAGTTTAAATTGATAGACTCTCTGATGCTTCTGAACTTCTTGAAAGGAGATTTAAACAATTAGTGAAGTTAGGGGTTGAATTAGTTATAAATACTATACATAGAAAATTAAGCAAATGAAACAGATAGTTATTAACTCCAGGGAAAACAAAATTGTCAAATGAAATGAAAGAAAATCAGAGTTTACTATTTGGCTTAGCTCTGAATAATGAATATTTAATCAAAATTATTTAAATATTGATATAATTAACATTTTAAATTCTGGAAGGATGCGGGAATGGGTGGTACATGTTTTGTGATGGGGTCATGGTAGAAACGAGAACTAAAAATTCTCATCTTCCTTGGATGATAATGGATAATGCCCAGAGTGAAACAATCAAAAAGGAACAATTTGAGCCTGTTATTTATAGACCTTGAAATAAGTACCAAAAAAACCCAGCTGAAATAGTTCTCTTCTCTGGATAGGGGTAGTACAGGGAAGTGGGTGCCAGGCACTGCAGTTTTTCTTGACAAAATTTGTAGAATTATTTGACTCTTTAAACTGTGTACCTGTGTAAACTTTGGTAAAAAATTAAAAATTAAAGACAACTTGGATAGGATTTAAGTGCATGAACTTTGGAATCAGGTAGATCTGTGTTTGGTCTTTCTTGTCACTTACTAATGGTGTGAACTTGAGCAGTTTAACTGCTTTCCACCTGTTTTCTCATCTGACAAATGAGGACACTATTTGCCTTACAGATTTGTCGTAAGGACTAAATGATGTAATGTTTTTAAGTACACATAGCATAGTAGGTAGCACATTTAAACTATTATTTTGGGGGTTGCTCTTCCCGTTTAGAGCAAGCAATTAAAATCAGAAGACTGGAAAGGTAAACACAGCCAGGGTCTCCCACTGGTCTGGAAAAGGTGGGACGATTTCTCATTCACAGGGTCTTCCATCCCAAGATGGACTCTCAGGATGTTTGGAGGCGGGTTGATTGCGCATTGGGCTCCAAGTTCAAGTTGATCTGAAGTAGCCCAACTTGGACTATGACTTTCTCATCTGCAGGTCTTAGAAGAATTTTAAGAGGCTTATTTGAATTTTAAGAAGCTTAATTACATCTTAATTGAGAAAAGAGTTCAAGTGAAAATTTGCTAAATATATGAAAGGGAAAACTTGAGTTAAAGATGAGAAAAAAACTTTTAGACTAAAACAAGTTAATAAAAGATATTATGTAGACTTTCTTTTTAGTCAGCCATCTTTTGCCTAAGAAGTCATTAGATAGAGTCCTACTCAGAGATGGCAGTTGGATGGAATGGTTTCTAAGGGGTTTGTTCCTAATGGAACAGTAGGAACAAAACAGATAAAATATGGGCCTTATAAAAAATCATGCTCTAAATATTTGAGCAACTACAACATGTTTTATTTTCTGCCTCTTTTGATTGTGAATTGTTGCATAGAAGGATGCTACTAACTATTCCTACCCTATGCAGAGACCCCAGAATCCAACAATAGCGTGTATACTTCCTTCATGAAGTCTCATCGCTGCTACGACCTGATTCCCACAAGCTCCAAATTGGTTGTATTTGATACTTCCCTTCAGGTGGGTGAAATCCTCTTTTTCCTTCCCTCTTGGAGCCTCTGGTTCAATACCTCTCATCCTATCTCATCCCAAGGGTAATATCCTTGTCGCTCTATGGGGTTAGTCTCATGTTATCCCCAACATACCCCACCCCTTTTCTTTTAAAGCCTGTGACTTTCCCTTTGTGAATTTAATTCTTTTGGCTATAGGTGAAGAAAGCTTTCTTTGCCTTGGTGACTAATGGTGTGCGAGCTGCCCCTTTGTGGGATAGTAAGAAACAAAGTTTTGTGGGTAAGCAAAAGTTTCTGGAACACGGTATTATTGGCATCTTGTGCTGGGCACAGGGACAAGTTTTGAGCAGTGCTGAGGGCTCTTGTCTTGGTCTCTAGGCATGCTGACCATCACTGATTTCATCAATATCCTGCACCGCTACTATAAATCAGCCTTGGTAAGGAACCTTAGTCCAATGACCAAAACCACTTTCCCCACCCTAAACCCCTCCTTCTCATTTCCTTTCTTCCAAGCAAACCACAAGGGGTTTATGAAGCAGGGAGATCAAGTCTCAAGTTCTGTTGCTTCTGCTTCCAGGTACAGATCTATGAGCTGGAAGAACACAAGATAGAAACTTGGAGAGGTATATAAAGAATTGGGGGTTGTGAAAGGATAAAGGGATGGAGTTTCCTGGGAAATGGTGTTATTTTGTGACCCTTCCTTTTGCCTTCAGAGGTGTACCTACAAGACTCCTTTAAACCACTTGTCTGCATTTCTCCTAATGCCAGGTGAGTTCCAGCTACCCATTTGTCTAGAAAGGGAAGAGCCTTGCCATTGGCATAGCTAGACACCCAGAGATCCAGGGGGCAGAAGACACACACACACACACACACACACACACACACACACACACACACACCTCCCCTCCCCCAACCATCACTTTTCCCTGTTTATAAACACACTCTAAGGAGCTATTTAACTACACTCAGGCCCAGTATGTGGAACTTATCGTTGTTCTCCACCTTCCCACAGTTTGTTTGATGCTGTCTCTTCATTAATTCGGAACAAGATCCATAGGCTGCCAGTTATTGACCCAGAATCAGGCAACACTTTGTATATCCTCACCCATAAGCGCATTCTCAAGTTCCTCAAATTGTTTGTAAGTGCTCCTCGGCCCAGTTTTTACTTCTTATATACTGGGTTGGAAGGGTATCCAAGGGTGGTGTGGGGGGCCTTGAAAATCAAGCTGATGGTTCCTTCCTCAGATCACTGAGTTCCCCAAGCCAGAGTTCATGTCTAAGTCTCTGGAAGAGCTACAGATTGGCACCTATGCCAACATTGCTATGGTCCGCACTACCACGCCTGTCTATGTGGCTCTGGGCATCTTTGTACAGCACCGAGTCTCAGCTCTGCCTGTGGTGGACGAGAAAGGTGAGAGATTGGGCAGAAGGAGAGGGAGGGCTCCAGGGAAGCCAGATGGCTCTTGGAAAATCGGCCCCCTCAGCTCAGCCTGGAGGGTGATTCTGTGGGTGGGGGAGCCTTGGATGCCAGATCCTCCTTGCTGAGCTGCCTCTGTCCCCCTAGGGCGTGTGGTGGACATCTACTCCAAGTTTGATGTTATCGTGAGTGATTGTGGAGGGCCTGGGAGGTAGGGAAAGGGGTGGTGTGTTGAATGTGGAGAGGGAGAAGAGTCTCTTCTGGGACCTGAGGGTTTTAAGAAGCTTCCAAGCTTTCAAATCCTATTTGAAAAGGAATTGAATGAGCTAGATGTGGCTTGTGGGCATGGCTAACAACTGCTCTAAATCCCTCTGGTGAGGTTGGGTGGGCTCAGGGTTTGGGGGCTGGCTCCCTTGCTTCCCTGCAAGCACCTTCTCCTCTCTCCCCAGAACCTGGCAGCAGAAAAGACCTACAACAACCTAGATGTGTCTGTGACCAAAGCCTTGCAACATCGATCACACTACTTTGAGGGTGTCCTCAAGTGCTATCTACATGAGACTCTGGAGACCATCATCAACAGGCTGGTGGAAGCAGAGGTGGGGGGGCATCTGTGAGAGTGGGGTTCAGCAAGGAGGGTCTGAAGGGCTCCCCCTAACCAAGGCTGGCACCAAACATTTCTTCCTCCCTTGTTGCTCTCTGCAGGTTCACCGACTTGTTGTGGTGGATGAGAATGATGTGGTCAAGGGAATTGTGTCGCTTTCGGATATCCTGCAGGCCCTGGTGCTCACAGGTGGAGAGAAGCCCTGAGCTGGGGAAGGGGCCAGGTGGCCCCGGGCCGTGTGCCCACTCACTGCCTGCCCAAAGCTCTGCAAATCACACATGGAACCTTGAGAGAATCATGACTCTGTTCCCTGCTCAGGAGCCCCCTGCCCTTCTACCTGGGAGCTGGGGAGGATGGAGAATGGATTTTTAGCTGTCCTGTCCTCACACATACACGAGAGGAAAACTTTCAGCCCAGCCCACCCGAGCCCCTGTCCTCTTAGACAAGCATAGCCCCTGTTCTGGGTGAACTATGGACTCTGTGCCCCTCGGGCAAATTCTGATCTCTAAGAGATCCCAGACCTCACCCAACCTTTGCCTCTATCGCCATCCCTGACTCCACCCTAAGATAATAGCACAAAGAAACTCTACATTAAAATATTTTTATTCATCTGTTTCATGCTGTATGGAGGAGGCTGAGTCTACTTAGTGACATTTCTTCCCATAATGGAGCAGGGAGGCTTGCGGGGAGGACAGCCTTTGGGTTCCTGTGCTGTATGCATATGAAGGGAGGTGGGTTAGGTGGAGGAGGAGGGCAGAGTGGTTAGCTGAGGTTATTGCTTTTCATGGCAAACTTAATTAAAATGACAGGAACCTCTTTATGGTATTGCAGTGTTTGCTTTTTGTAGTTGATAGATACTATTGCTCCAACCTTCCAACTTCATGTGGCTTCTTCAACTCAAAAACAATAATAATAGCACACACTTATATAAAACTGTGTCAGACACCATTCTCAGTGCTTGACATATATTCATTCATTGAATCCTCAGAACAATAGTAGATATTCCAGTTTTATAAATTTAAAAGAAACAGCACAGAGAGGCTAAGTAGCCCAGGGCCACACAGCTAGAAAAATAGAGCTAGGATTTGAACCCAAACAGTCTGGCTCCAGAGTTCGTGCTCTTTACCACTGCACTAGACTTACTACTACTTTTCTATATCTCTGTTCATAACTGTTCCCCACCCTATTCCCTGCAGTCGTCCTTAATTATCCCACTTTCACCTCTTCCTGGACCATAGCTGGGACGCCAGAAAAATCTATTAGGTCTCCACAGGAGGCAGACTAAATGTATCCTTTAGGCAGAGAGATGCCGCCACCATCATCAGACTTTGTTAGGGAAGGTTGGACCCTGTTTGGATTTTGCTGAACTGCCTTTGAACCTACAAATCCTTTGTGATTCTTCTAAGGAGGGAATGAGCCGGATGATAGGGGGTGGGGAAGTATCAGGACTATGGTCACCCCATCAGACCCTTGCCCTGTGCTGAAACCGTGTGGGCCAAAAGAGGGGTGCCAAACAGCATAAGGACACCTAGACTGTTGGGTATGAGCCAAATTTTGGGTACCATCTTCACCACTGCCTTGCAGTTATGATACCATTTGTCTTGGATATCAAGACCAAAAGCAATTTCAGAGCAACTCCTTACCCCTACCTGCACTGTGCCTAAGAACTCTGATGAACACAGCCATACCACACTGGTCCCTCCTAACCAGGCTTCCTGATAGAACACAGGGAAAGAAAGCATCAAGACAGCTTTTAGTGCTACATCATGGCTTTGAAGAAGCCCCTGCTTGTGCATTTACCTCTTCACAGCTCTCACAACACATTCCCAGGCTTGAGGGAGGGAAGCATTCCAAGTTATTAGAATTAGGGTATGTTTATGTGTGTGGGGGTGGGTGCATGGAGAGAGGACAGATGTCCTGTGTCACATTCAATCATGAAATGGGGTTTGTCTAGGGAGGAGGCAAGTGTTTTAAAAAGCCTGAGGACTGGGGTGGGAACCTGGGTGGAAGGAGGCACCTTCAAGCAAACAGCCATCAGTGCAGCTGGTAGGTATAAAGCGGGGTGGTCAATGGGTGGGATAGGGATGTGTGGGGTTTCTCTAAAGATCCACGTTAGAGAGCAGGAAGCCTGGGTTTTGTTGCTCTGGTTCTCAGTAAGTCAATCTCTGCCCCACAACAACCCTCATGGCCCTATCCCCTTAACAGGAAGGGTCTGTACTCAAGGGGCTGTGGGTATTTTAGTGGAAAACAAATTGAGATCTCTTGCTTCTCCCATTCCCCACTAAAACCCAACCAGTCTCAGAGTCTGAGGATGGAGCAGAAGGAAAGACAAGTAACAAAATTTGGGAGCCTCATGGCCTTCTATTCTTACCGATTCCTCTCAGGAGAAGCAAGTTATTCCTTCTATCTCAGGAGCCATTGCCATACACACTCTTCCCCCACCTCCCCAAACCCCTCCCCTCCACTGGAGCTGCTGCCATGGTTGCCAGGCATGGTTGCTAAGTCTCCGCATGGAAGGGTTGGCGTGGGCTGTGCTGCCACTAACATTACCATGGTGAATCAGGGGACACCTGGTATAGGCTTGGGGGGAGGGATCATATAGATATAAGCAACAACCCCTCAGGACAGAATCAGGCTAAAAGGTGAACATCTTGAGCACTACTTCAGGTGGGGGCTGAGTGAGCTAGGCATTGTGATAGTGGTGATGGGGTGCTCTACGCTGAAAAACAGGCCATTTTTAACATCTCAGTTGCTAGGGGATTGGTTTTGCCAAGGGAGCACACCGTACCTCCTCCAACCCCTCTGAAAGGGTGCAAGTGCATAAGCACCCTAGTCCTCCATAAGGCTGAGCAGAGCTGTGTGGGCACAGAACAGTATGACCCAAAAAATTCTGGCTTCTGGATTGGGGGAGAGTGCATGCTATGGGGAGAGGGTTGGAGAGGGTTGCATGGATGCCCAAGGACAAACATCTACAATGGAAGTGTAGGGCAGCTTCTATGGCCAAGACCGACTTCTCTGTTCTGCTGTACCAGCAGCCCTGGGCTACAGTTAACGGTATGGGGGTCACCCTTTTTGAGCTTGGGGAAGGTAGCTCCCCCCACCCCAGACTCGCAGAAAAGCTGCATGAAAGCCACCACCTCCTCCCTCCACCACATGGAAGCTGGTTACTCATCTTCTCTCTGCACCCGAACTGCCACTGCTGCTAAAAATAGCCCCCCAGCCGTGGGCCAGCTCCTCCTGCACCCCAACCCCATGGAAACCAGCAAGAGTGGCAGGCAGAGACCTCGAGTTCCATTTCCATCACCTGCCTGTCAGAGAAACTGAAGCCGGAGGCAGGAAGTCAAGGGCAAAACCCTGGTGGTCAGGCACCCTGACAAGCAGGGGAAGTGAAGTGTTAAAACCGCAGGAAGGTTGAAGAAATGGGGGCGGGGGAGGTGGCACTGTCAGCTGGCAAGAGAAGTCCCCTGCCCACTCGCGCAGGTCCCATCAGGCTGGGGGGACAAGAGCAGTGGGAAGGGGCGCCAATCCCGGGCCCCAGGGGGCGACCGTGCACATGGGGGAGGTAGCAGTGCAGAGCAGTCCGCTCCGTGTCACATGCGCGCGCGCGCGCGCGC